AGCCTCTCCAGCGGTATCGTAGTCAAAACGCAGCCAAAACCCTCGTGTGATGGGACGTTATTCTGTAAGTTAACTTTTAGGGTACACGAACAACGTGGTACGTATGTCTATTTGTTAAATAATACGAAAAGGGATCTTTTGCAGGACTATAGCATCGACTCTTAAAAAAGTGTATCGCGATTTGTTTTATGTGAATAGAAAACTAATGTTTGATTTCTTTTTTTCCACTATTGCCAATCTCCATTAACATGTCTTAATTTTCTGGCTGAAAACTAAGTGTGCTAGGCACACAAATTAGCAAATTTGTTTTTGTTGCAATTGGCAAACACTGGGCTGCTAAGAACAAAAAATACTTAAAAGAAAGGATTTTACACCTTGCGTATGTTTTCCCTATTAGTTATTATAGATGTTTTATGACAATTTTTTGCTTTCTCTAAATTATTTAGATGGTGGTACTTGTAAAATGCTGGGTAAAATGTACATACTTGTTATCTCTTCTGTTTTTGTATATATTTCCCAAGATGTGCACTTGTATTATAATAACCATTCCCAATTTTAGGGGAAATTTGTGCAATAAATACAGTATGTCAATTTACTTCTGGTACATTCTTCTGTCCGTTTTTTATACCTGCAGTACAGGAGCGTTGGTGAGTCTATGAACTGCGACCATCTCCAGCTCGACATCCGTCCGTCTCCTACCGCGCATCCCTCTTGGGGCACGCTTCCTGGTACTCGGAGGTGCCGCAGCCATTTCGTTTGGGGTCTCTTAAGGAATTAATCCATCTCAGACGGGAATTTGTATCCGAACTTGCCGTCCCCTCAGTTGTGAATGTCGTTGGCCCAAAAAGCGATAGTAGGACGGGAAGGCGGTCCTGACCGTCCGTGCTGACGCTTGACTTCGCGTGAGGAGAACAGACGTAAGCCTAAAGCCGTGGTCCTCGCACTGGTCCGTACGCTCGTTCCTAAAGTGACCTGCAGAGCAGTTTGTCACGGTAGTCGAGTGTTTGCAATTCCTCTCCTACAAGTTCCCATGTTTGTGCCCATCTGCCCAGTTACGCTCCCTTTTCTGTCTCTCTGGGCTGCTGCACCGGAATAAAGGTTACTGAGAAATCTTGGTAAGGTTTTATTAACTGTAAGTTCAAATTATGATACAGCGCTGTCAAGAAAATTGAAGTAATAATCGTACAACAGGAAGGAGAATTAACTTGGGGAGATGCAGCAGAGTGTAGGTACAGCGGCTTTCAGAGCGTTCAGATTAATACAGGTCCTGTATTCTTGACGAGGGAATAAATAATCAGCAAAAGATGGAGACCTTGCTTTGCCTGAAGCAGTTGCACCCGCTATTTTTGATGGTTTACTTTCCTGGTACGTACCTTCCCGCTTCCCGTGGGACTGGGACGGGGACGAGCCGGGGCAGGAGCAGAGGTTAAGTGGCCCCGGGCCCCGTCCTGCAGAGACCAGCTGCTGGGCAGGAGACTCCGCGGATCCGATGGGCAGCACAGCGAGACTTACCGGAGCGGAGCTTTCCAGGATTCCCACCTGCACCTGCCAAGTCCTGTCTGGTAAAAAGATACCTGTTACCAGACTTCTTGTTTCAGCTCCAGGAGGAATGAAAGCTGTAACAGCAGACTCGTGGGTGTCTAAACTGGTCCTGTAACACTGCCATGAGCCTTCCCTACGAGCAGGGAACGGATGAATTGCTCAGACTGTGCGTTCTCAGTTCCCGTCCCGAGTAGCATGATATCAAAGGGCTTAATGCTCCGTGTGGGCGAGGCGATGTAAAAACAATCGATTGCCTTCTAATCACTCCAACACAGGGGTTTGTTGCTTGGCCTCGTGTTCCCGTGCCATGATGGATTCAAAAGGCAGAGCCTGTGATCCCGCAGCAGCGCTTGGGGGGTAGAGCGGGCAGCACCGAGCCTGACTCCAGCAGTACCTGCGGCAGGAGATGCTCAGCCTTAGCCGGTGCCGGAGGAGAGGCAGGAGGCTCCGCTGTGGGCTATTGGTGACGCACACTTGTGCATCGCTGCTTTAAACGGACCGTCGGACCTCCTGCAGTGTCTCTCGGGCTGGGACGCAGCTGGCTGAGCGCACCTGAGGGAGGACAGAGAATTTTGTGTTACCAGAGCAGATGGCCAGGAGGTGTCCTCCTGACGGGATGCGTGAGGTTGAGCCGGTGATCATGTGTCTGTGTGGGTGTTTGGCAAGCGATTATGTTAGCAGTAAATTCAGCAGTACAATCGCTGCAGCATCCAGAAAACGCTGATGTTAATGCCCAGAACTGATTTCCTTTTTAACTCCTCAGTTAGACTGGGATATAGCACTTGCTAGCCAATATTTTTAATGTATTGTTACTCCTTTTCTGTAATTCTTTTAATTTTCCTGAAACAAAAGGGGAAAGCTAATTCACTTTTGCCTAGGCAAAGGCAGGGACGCGAGCCGTAGGCATCCGAGCACCGCAGCGTCTTTCATCCCTTGCGCGATTACCAGGGGGTCTGCAGAAGAGGCGCTGATTGTTTTCTGTGCGGCTTTAGTGCAGAGTAACCACAGGACGATTTCTGGACCCGCGGGGCGGGAAG